TGAGCCATCTTAGTGAAAAGATCTACCACCAACAACATGAAACCTTGGACCGGAGTAAATCAGTAATGAAGTCCAGAGAGACTGTATGCCATGGACAGGTGTGTGTGTGGAAAGGGGTTGCAAGAGTCCTGCCAGCTTCTGTTGGAAGGACATGGCCCTCCTGCATGTATGGCAAGAGGCCACATAGTCTTCGATGTTCACCACCATCTTGCGACACCAAAAGTCTCTTAATGTTCTATGCAGAGTTTTGAACACTCCCCCATGCCCCACTGTCTGGTTTTCATGGCAAATCTGCAAATCCTGTTCCCTAAAAGTAGGGGAAACTACTATTGTGCTGTTGTGCTTCAAGGCTCCTTCCTCCACTGCAAATGAGGATACAGTACCTGTTGGGGTTGCCTTGAGGTTATCCATCCAGGCTCAAGAGAACTGGTCTAGAAGCTGTTGTGCTTGATTCTAGTGATTAAGTCCTGGTATGGTTGAATTGTTCCCAACCTCTCAGGATGGTGGATGTGGTGTCAGCTGGAAATGAGAAGGCTGCAAGATTCTTTCTGCTACTGGAGTATGTTGAACTTGTGAATACTCTTGGCTTGCAGGAAAGAGCATCTGGTATCCAGTTCTTTGAGCCTGGGACATATTGAATGTAAAAATCAAAGTGTGAGAAGATTGGCTCTATCTGATTTGTTTGGGCAAAAGTGGCTGTTGAAAGACGTGTAGATTCTTATGCTTTGTGTTGATCTCTATGGGAAAATGTGTGCTTTCTAAAATGTTTGAACATGTATTTAACCTCCCAGACCTCCTTGTTAAAAATGTCATAGTTTCATTCTGGGGCAGTCAAAGTTCTTGAGAAGAAAGTGCAGAGGAACAGGCATTTCTCCCACCCACCCTTTTGTAAAAGAACAGCTCTGATTGCTATTTCTGAAGCATCTGTCTGAACAATAAATCTCTTTGAAGGGTCTGGATGCTGAAGTAGGGAATGCTGGGCAAAGAACTGCTTTAACTCTTTGAATGCTGTTTGTGAATCCAAGCAAATTAACTCCTTTCTTTGACAGTTGGGTAAACTGGGGATAAATTTTATGTAGAAGTTTGCAAGGCCCAGGAAATTTTGAATGACTGATCATGCAGGGAGCTTGCCATTCCAGCACTGCCCTGACTTTCTGGGGGTCCATCTGGATACCATTTGTGGAGATAGGGTAGTCCAAGAAATCTAACTGTGTTAGATTAAAGGCACACTTTTCTGGTTTAGCAAAGCAGTGGTTGTCTCTCAGTCTACTCAGAAATGTACACACATGTTATTTGTGCTGAGATTCATCCTCAGAGTAGATCAGGATGTTGTTCAGATAAAGGACTGCAAATTTATCAATGTGATCAGAAAAAAATTGGTTCATAAATCTAGAAAATGTATTTTGAATGTTTGAAGAGCCTCTTCTCTAAGCTCTTGCAGGTAGGCTGTTGTCATTTCCCAGTTCTGTGGTTTGCATTTGGGACGGCTTTCACTGGAACTGTGGCTGGAACGCCTGTCTCCTCTCCTGGGTGGGTTGGAAGTGCAGTCCTTGACTATGTGTCTGGATTGTTCACAATAGAAATAGTGCTAAATCTCAGTGTCTCTGCCATTCTTCTGTGGCTGGGGATTGTCTGGCTGCATCAATTTGCATAGGCTCCTCTCCTTTATCAGCTTCAGTCAGTGTAAGGAAGATGAGAACTGGATATGGGAGTTGAGGAGCTGGTAGCTTGCGATGGTTGGAGCAAGCCCTGATCACTTCTAAACGTGTGTCAATTATAATGCAGGTTCTGTAGATTTGACCCAGTGTCTGGGAACTACTCACCTGATGAGTTGATCCACAATTCTGTCATTGAGGCCATGTCTGAATTGTGCCATCAGGAAAGGCTCATTCCAGTTCAAATCTGCTGCAACAATTTAAATTCAATGTAGAGCCTTACTCTCCAGTTGCCTTGTTGGACCTCTTGAATTGTGCACATGGCAGTGTCTTCTTGGATGGCATCTCCAAAGTGTTGTCTAAAGTGTGCTAGGAAGTTTTGATAGTTACCCTTGATTGGGTCATTGCACTCAATCATGAGAAGCGCCCATCTAATGGCTGAAGCTTTGAGGAGGCTTAGAATGAAGGACACTCATGAACTGTCCATTGGAAACTTCACTGATCTGGTGCCAATGAATAGTTCACATTGGGCAAGAAATGTTCTCATCTTGTCTGAGTCTCCTGCAAATCTCTGGGGTAGACATCCAGGGGTCCTCAGCAGCAGGGCACCAGCTGCTGATGGAGGAGTGAGAGCTGATTATGGAGGCTGTGGTGGAGGAAATTGTTGAGCTAAATTTTGCATCTGTTGAAGCATCTGGTGCGTATTAGCTGCTGTATTTCGCACCTTGGTTTCCAAACCGTCTCGGCATCTGCAGAGGGTACCCATCTCTGAATTGCCTGCTGCTGCTCTAGCTTGTGGATCCAATGCCATGCTGTGGTTTTCATAGTAGTCTGTTAAAGTTTAGGTGAGTAGAATCAGATTAATTTCAGGCGCAATGAACCAGGAACAGGAGTCGAGTTCAAAGCACTAAAAGTATATTACATGCAACCTATACACAAGAATCTGATCTGATGGTCAAACCAAATTAGCACTTGATAAAGGTCAATGGAATTTATGGGGAGGGGGTGGACTTGGGTTTCTTGTGGGAGTGTGGCAACTTCAAATTGATGACGTTTGACCCCACTCCCTGGTTCAGCTGGCTCATCTCCTACAACTGTGCCTCTTAACAACAGCAATTCTGGCAGTCTAGTTACTGTTTAACCACAAGTCATTAAGTGAATCACCACAACTTATTAAGTAAGGACCTAATGGGACTACGATTTCCAAGTTCCTGCCAGCTTCCCCATTGACTTTGCTTGTGAGAAGCCAGCAGGGAAGGTTTTTATTCACATTCACATTACTGCGGGATGCTATGACAGTTGGAAATCTGGGCCACTGTTGAGCAACCAGGTCATGATCACATGACCACAGGGGTGCTGTGATGGCCAAAACTTTGAGGACCAGTCATAAATACCACTCATTCAGCACAATTATAAGTTTGAACTGTTGCTGAACAAGTGGTTTTAATAAAGCACCACCTGTACTTATTAAATCAATTTATATGGCTGCGTATATCACAGATGTACTGTATTTTTCAGACTATAAGATGCTCTGAACTGTAAGATACACCTAGCTTTTGGGGAGGAAAACAAGAAAAAAAAATCTGCTTCTGCCTTTGCCTCCCAGCAATTTGCCTCCTTGCAGCAAACAGCAAACAGCCTGGTCAGCTTCAGCACAGCCTGATTTAGCACAAGCAGCTGATTGTCATTTAGATTGGCCTCCCAGAATATGACTATCAGCTTTTTCAGGCTGCAGGGATAGCCATCGCCTATTGCCACCTCTGCGTGCCCCGTTTTTGGCCCATTCCAGGTGGCAGGAATTGGAATGCACCAAAAATGGGGTGCACGCAGGCCGAAAATGGGGAGTGGAAGCCGAAAATGGGGCATGCTGAGGCGGCGATAGGAATCCCTGCAGCCTGAAAAAGCTGATAGTTGGTATTCCAGGAGGCCAATCCAAATGACAATCAGCTGCTTGTGCTAAATAGGGCTGTGCTGAAGCTGACCAGGCTGTTTGCTGCAAGGAGGCAAATTGCTGGAAGGCAGAGGCTGAAGGGTGGGGGCTGGTGGGTGGGCGGGACTTCAACATTCGCTGTATAGGATGCACAGACATTTCCACCCACTTTTTTGGGGAGGGGAGTCCATCTTACAGACCAAAAAATACGGTATTTCTGGTAGCTCACAACTTATTAAAACAATATCAGTGAAACACAGAATTTAAAATGGTGACAATAAATGCAAAACAGCAGCAATGCCTCAGTCACCTAACTTCTCACCCTCGTGCTCAGGAACACATGTAGGTTTTCAGTGCTTTGCAAAAAGGCTAGCAAAGTTGGAGGCAAAGTTGTTCAGAGTTCAGGTGCTACGACAGAAATGGCCTGCTTCCTAGGTCCCATTAGATCACATTTAATTGAGGGGACCCGGAATGAGCCCTTCCTAACAAACCTAGTGAGGTGGGTATAGACAACCAAAAAAAGGCAGTCCCTCAAGTAACCAAGCCTCATGCCATGAGATGATAACCAGCACCTTTAATTCCACCCAAAAGCCAATCTAGTTGGCTGTTGGCTTTGCAGGGCAAACCAGATAGGAAACATAAGCAGAGGGTCTACTGCAACTTCATTGTAAAGCTACATTGACATAATCTTTCAAGTGTGAAAGTAGATTCTCCTTTCATCCTCCCCCCACCCCCTCCTTTACAGCCTGAGAAACTAAAGACAATGTCTTCTGAGCCTCTTGCCCCACCTACTATCCAGCTGCAGGCTATGTCCTCTTATCTGGCTGTTCCCTTGGTGGTGTCTCCTTGCCCATTCTCCCAAGGTCATTTCCACATATCATTACACTGGCAGAGCACAGAGGAAAAATGGACATACACTGCTGCATTCTGGACCAGTTGCAACTTCCAGATAGTCTTCAAGGGCAGCCCTTGAATAGTGCATTGCAGTAATCCACTTTAGGGGGTGACTACAGGTAGTCCTTGAATTATGACAATGGAGCCCAGAATTTTAGTCATGCAGTAAGTTGAGACACCATATGACCAAATTCAATTTTTACAACAGTTATAAAGTGGGTCTCTGCAGTTGCCAAGCAAACCACATGGTCATTAAGTGAATCCAGCATATCCAATGGTGTTTTTTTCTGCCAGAAAACTGAAAAACTAAAACTTGCAAGTTGTGGTCTTGTGACCATGGGTTGCTGCAACAGGTTGTAAATGTGAGCTGGTTTCCAAGTGCCTGAAATATGATCATATGACCATGGGGGAGATGTGCTGCAGTCATAATTCACAAGAGTCAAACTCTGAACTACCCACAAGTAATCATTGAAATCAGGTATTGGGAGGTGTTTTTTTAATATATACTTTGCTTTTCACAGGGATTTGTGCACAGCATTTGGGAAAGATGTCCTCAAGATGGTAGAAGCTAGGCCCATGATACATGAATTGCTAACTGAAGGAAGAAGATCAACAGCGAACAAAACAAAAACCCTTGCTACCTGGGCCACTAAAGAGTTAAGAAAACTGAAAAATCAAGCTTGGTGAGAAGGCTCAAACTTTTTTGTTCTTTAAAACATCTGAATCATTCATATACAGTTTGCATTAGAAATTTAGAGAACTAATGTAAGGCCCAGATATGTTAATTCCCCACTGACTAATCTTCAAGAAGGTGTGGGAAGTAGCATTTGGATTTTCATCCACATGGCCTTTTCTTCAAAATCCCCCTATTCAAAAATTCCTTATTTCTTTCAAGACCTGCTTTAAAAATGTAAGAAATCTTATGCAGTGTGATATGACAAATTGAAGTGGAAAAGTTGTCTAATCGGAATATTTGTTTTAAAAAAAGCTGCAATAATGAAAACAATCTTACTGCTACTGAAGAAATTGCAAGTGTCTCTTTTTATGTTACACTGCATTGCCTCCTTATTTTTCTTCACTTACAGATCTATTACTATTGGGATGACACCTGAGACCCCCACTGGAATTCTCCAATCTATTGAGGAAAAAAAAACCAACCCGAAGTGAGGAGTGTGCGCGAATGCTGAGTGTTTGGAAATGAGAGGATGAGTGAGAGGCTTAAACACACCATGGTGAAAATCCAGCCACGGCAAATGGCAGAACCACTGTTAATGGAGCTGACTTCAATAGCAACAAAACTTTGTCATCGCTTGCCTCTAGGAAGTGGAAAATGATTTGAGTTCTATACATCAGTACAGTCTCTTCTGACAAGAGACAAGTACTAATTATCTGTCTTTTGGGCAGTGAAGAGGAAGTTTACGATAGAGAAAAGCTAGCTTCAGGTTCAATTTGAGTACTCACATAATAAGGTCTGGCTTTTGTTGCTAGAGAGAAGGTGGGGTCCCCAGCCCACCAGTTACCTTTTTTTCAGGAGGGAGGGAGGAGTTTTTGGACACACACTGTTCGTGCATAAGACAATGGGAAGGGTGAAGGATTTTCTTTCAAGTGTGTGTGTGTGTGTGTGTGTGTGTGAATGAATGAATGAATGAATGAATGAGGCAGTATCTACATTCTCAATTGCAGTTCATGTTTCCCAAAAGAAACGCTGAAAAGATTAGCAGTTGCATTTCCTAAACTAACACATCTACTTGAAGTGGCAGAAAAGTATGAGTTTTGAAGGAGGAGGAGTAAAGAGAAGTTGCCCAGTGTAGGGCTTCTTTAGGGGATAGTAAGAGAGATGTTCAAAGCTCCTGTTATGTCTTTTTTCACAATCTTGTTTCATTAAAAAGCGCCTTTCCTTCCTGAATTTTGTTCAATTGTGAATGTAGAAACGGGGTGGGGTGAGAGGTGGGTAGGATGTCCAGAAGACTCTCACATGTTAGTTGGAGAGATTAGGATCCTGTTTTTTCAAATGGGATGTGAGGCTTTGAAACAAAACACAACTTTGAATTAGTGATAATAAAAACAAGCAAAAGGGACAAAGCCCCCTTTGGGTGTGAACAAAGCCCGAACCATACACGATTGTGCCAAAGAATTTTTAAAAAGTCTAAACAAACAAAAAACCTTTCAGGAAATATTGGGTTGCAAAAATGAAGTTGAAATTAAATGTTCAAAGAAAAAAAAAGATAAAAGTACAATTTGGAAACTGCTTTGCCTATTTGTTATCTTTATTTGGTTCTGCTATGGGGTTAGTTTTATATACTGGAGCTTACACAGGATGGCATTTGTAAAAGGTTATATTTTTCCACTGCAGTTGAAGGTTAATAAAATGGTGTCAAACATTCCCCCCAGTACTATTGTTTCTATTACTCTTTCCAGTAAACAGGAAATCTTTTCCCCAAAATCACTAAGCAATGCCGGCTCATATTTCGCTGCCATATCCTCTTCGCTCGAACTCACATCTGCCAACGGAGCAGATGCCAATCCCGGAGTCACAACACTATCCCTCACCGCAGGACCCTTCCCCCGGGTCTGACGATCCGGATGCGGTTTCAACGGAAAGCGTTCATGGAAGCTCCGAATAATGTCTGGAGCATGAACTGCGGAAGCATCTGTCCACGAAAAAACCTCCGAGCCATCCGCTCTCCTCCCGACTAAGTACTGGAAGCGACCCTTTAGCCAACGAGAATCAGTAATGCTGACCACCGTGTCATCAACATCAGCCTCCTCACTGGGCGTTGATGGAGAAACCGCACCAGTGGGAGCACGAAGAGAACACTCCGGGGAGTCAGGAACCAACAGAGAACGATGGAAGACAGGATGAATGCGCATGGAGCGCGGTAAGGTGAGTCGATACGCCACAGGGTTGATGACCGCTTCAATCGGGAACGGACCGATGAAACGATGGTCCAGCTTCCTAATTGGGCGATCGACCCGAAGGTGCCTTGTGGATAACCACACCTTGTCACCCACAGCTAACGGAGGCGTTGCTCTACAAGAACGGTCCGCAAACCGTTTGTAGTCTTCTTTCGCCCATTCTAGTTGTTGCACTACTAAACGGTGAACCGCTTGTAATTCCTCAAGAAAATCTTGTGTCTCGGGAACCGGGGAATCCATCATAGTCAACGGGAAGAATCGCGGATGATAGCCCACATTCGCGTAAAATGGCGTTACTCGAGTGGAGGTATGTTGAGAGTTATTAAAGGCAAATTCTGCCAATGGGAGGTATTTCGCCCAATCGTTCTGTCGATGATTGACAAAACATCTCAAATACTGAGTGAGAATGCCAATAACCTTCTCAGTCCCGCCATCAGTTTCCGGATGGTGCGCTGATGCTAGACACACCTGTACTTGTAATGCTGTCATTAAACGTTTCCAAAACTGCGCAGTAAACTGGACCCCACGATCCGAAACCACTCTATCCGGCAGACCATGTAGGCGAAAGACATGCTGTAAAAATAACTGGGCCGTAGTGCGGGCTGATGGTAGTTTCCGACAGGGAATAAAATGAGCCATGTTAGTCAGCATATCGACCACCACGAGCACCGTCGTGAAACCCGACGAGGATGGCAAGTGTGTGAGAAAGTCCATGGAGATCGCTCCCCATGGTCTGCCCGGAGTTGGCAATGGTTGAAGGAGTCCAGGAGGCGCACCCGACGCCGCTTTCGCTTGTCGACATTGTACGCAAGAAGCGACATAGGAAAACACATCGTGTCGAACCCGAGGCCACCAAAAAGTCCGGGTGACCAAGTGCAAAGTTTTGTAAAAACCAAAATGACCAGCAGCGGGATTGTCATGACATTGCGTCATGATGAGAGCTCTCAGCGACCTGGTGGGTACATACAATAAACCCCGATGTCTTAGCAAGCCTTCTTCAAAAGACCATGGGGAATCAGGTCCAACTTCCCCCTTTCTCTGCTGCGTCCACGCATCTAATCGCTGCGCCTCCCGTATGCGAGCCCGCAAATCTACCGGATCTTGAAGCACGGCCAAGGATTCCGGTGGCAACACCGTTCGTGGAGGAAGAGGATCCTCGGGACCGATATATTCGGGTTTTCTAGACAACGC